TCCTGATAGACACTCAGCAAAATTGGAACAAAAGGGAGTTACCTCATAATAGTGAAAAGTAAATATGCAAAACCAAGAGCCATTATAATTTTCAATGGAGAAAGATTAAAAGCATTTTCCTTGTGAACAGGGACCAGACAAGGATGCCCGCTGTCACCACTTCTATTCAATATTGTATTGGAAGTGCTTGTTAGGGCAATATGACAAGAGAAGGGAATAAACATCCAGATCAGCAAAGATACGGTTAAACTGTTGCCTTATGCAATGATATGTGTACATAGAAAACCCCAAAGATCCAACAACAAAAAAACCCTGTTAGATCTAGTACGTCAATTTAGTAGAGTAGCAGGATATAAGATCAATATGTAAAAATCCGTGGGATTTCTCTACAGTAACAAAGACAACTCAGAGAAGGAAACCAAGGAAGGAATACAAGTTACAATAGCCAAGCACAAAATGAGATATTTGGAGTGAATGTAACTAGAGACACAAAAGTACTGTACAAAGAAAACTACAAAACATTTTTGTGAGACACAATAAAAGACCCAAATAAATGGAAAAATGTTCACTGTTCATAGGTAGAAAGACTCACTATTGTGAAAATCTTACCAAAAACAATCTACATGTTCAATGTGATATCAATACAGATACCAAATTTATTTGTCAAAGAGATCAAATTATCCATTTTACTTGGAGAGGAAAGAGACCCTGAATAAGCAAAGCTCTTCTGAAGAACAAAAATGAAGTGGGAGGCATCGTGCTGATCTCAAAATCTACTACCCAGCAGTAGTAACCAAAACAGCATGGCACTGGTATAACAATATGTACATAGACCTATGGAACAGAATTGAGAACCCAGAAATGGGACCAGATATCTGTGGTCAACTGATATTCAACAAGGAAATAAAACCTATCAAATAGGGAAATTACAATCTCTTCAACAAATGGTTTTGGCAAAACTGGACTGCTACCCCAAAGAAAGTTGTAACAGGATCCATATCTCACACCATACACAACAATCAACTCAAGGTGGATCAGAGACCTAGGAATAGAGCTAAAACCATAAAGTTCATCAAAAACAACCTGGGATCAAACTTAAAAGGCCTAGTCTATGATATAAAGAGACAGACAGTCAAATACAGCCAGAAATGCACAATCGGGAGAGGATAAAAATGATGACCTTCTAAAGATTAAATTCCTGTGCACATCAAAAACATTTTCCAACACAGTGACAAGAAAACCTGCTGACTAGGGAAAAGAAAAATTTGGCAATACTGTTTCAGACAAGAGTCTCCTATCAAAAGTTTACAGAATTCTGCAGGGCCTCTACAAGTACAAAATATGCAAAAGACATGGAAAAAAATTTTATAGAGGAAAATGTTGGATGTCCAAAAGATACATGAAGAAATGTTCAAAATCACTGGCAATAAGAGAGTTGCAAATAAAAAACCACAAAGATATCATCTCCAGTAGTAGAGGTAAAGTTTAACAGGACACCAAGTAATAAATGTTGGAGAGTATGTGGAAAGATAATACACTGTTAGTGGTATTGTAATATGCTACAACTACTCTGGAAGGCAGTTTGGCATTTCCTCAAAAAGCTGAACATAGAAATACCATACGATGCAACCACTCCACTTCTTGGAATATACCCCGAGAAAATGAGAACTCAGGCACAAATGGAGATTTGTGCATCAATGTTCACAGCAGTGTTATTCACCATTGCAAGAACATGGAAATAGCCCAAACGTCCAACCACAATCAAATGGATTGTATTACATTCACATGATGAACTATTATGGAGCATGTAAGAACAATAATTTTGTAAATCACTACCTAACTTGGGAGGGACTGGAGAGTATTATGCTAAGAGAATGAACTCAGACCCATAAGGACAAGTACTGTATAAGACCATTATTGTAGAAATAGAAAGATAACCAGTAAGATGAGTATGAGGATCCAAGGCGGGAGAGGGTAGGAGCAGAGAGGTGTGCTGAAGATGATGGGCAAGGGGTGGGGGTTAATCATAAGGTCTCACAATTTGATGGGGAGAGAGAGAGATGTGGGTAACGGAAATAGGAAAGACCCAGTGTGAACAACAAAGTATACAAACTTTGTAAGTAAACCAGTATAAAATGAAAATTTTATTAAAAGGAAAAAAAAAAGCACCACTCACAAAAAAGCTCTTAAAAGTGTCAATTGAAAAGTTGTATGTCTCCTGGGAACTTTGAGGATTTTGTTTGTTAGGTTGTTTTTTGATGAAGAGTTCATATTTGCTTATTCTAGTGATTGTTTAATGGGAACACTGGTGGCTTAAAGAGTAATGAGCTGCATTGCCAACCAAAAGAAGAGTGATTTAGTAAGACAGAGAAGCTGCTCCCCGGGAGAAGGATGGGCAATCTCCTCCCATGCAATGAACTATGGGTCAATTCCAACTCAAAGGCATGCAACAACATGCATACTGCATTGAAACATATGAGGGAGAGAACTGTTTGAAAGGGATATATGATTGGGTAATATTGTCATGACAGGAGTCCACAACGAAGGCTGCACAGTGGAGTGGACTTAGGCGGAGGGATTGCATAACAATGGAAGAGTTTTTCTCTTACTTTTCAAGAAGAGTAAATTGGGGGGAAGGGCGGCAGGGAGAAAAGTACAACAATGAGTCAATTAAAACCCTAAGTCTCTGCAAACTTTCATTAATATTAATTTTTTTTTTAAAAAAAGACAAAAAATCCACCACAAGCTTCTTGGAAGAAAGATGGCTAATCTTCTTCGTGATTTATAGCCTCTAAAATCCTACTAGATGGTTAGCTGTGAATAGGTTCTGATTTGGTGGCAATCAACTGAGAGTCATTGTTTCAAGTTAGAAGTTCCAAAGACCACATTTACAGCAATCATATTAATATTTATAAAATGACTAATTCTTTACTATGGTGTCTGACTCCAGTTCGTGTCTTCAGGGAATAGCAGCATTGCCTCAGCCTTCCTCTGGGCCACTGATGCCAAATAGGGCATAATCACACTTGCTCTGAGAGTTAGTTAAACCATGGCCTTCTATATATGGAAGGGACAAAAAGAGCTAATGAAATAAACAAAGAAACAAATGAAAGGAAGCCTGGATAATGATATCAGTAAGGAAGAATCTAAGAGAACAGTTAATTATCAGTGGACTTTATAATCATAATCATAAAGCCAGGTACAAAAATACATTCCAATTTTTACTCTTAGTAATTGAATCAAGTATAAGACTCTAGTGCAACATTGGGCATGAGGTAGAAAACATACATTTTGGTTATGAGAAGGGAATAGGAATGTGGTAATGGATGGAAGAGTTGACTAAAACAGTATCTTACAATGTCATTTGAGATACTTCATTGAAAGTAGGGCAGAAGCAGATATGTCTAGGACCAGGAAATAGACTTCGTTACCATGAAACTCCTACAGGTAACCAAAATGTGTAATTCTGGCAAACAAATCACAGCTGGAACTGATGGTTAATATTCTGTATTAAACTAAGCAGAGCCTATTACAATTCAGATCTGAAAATTCAGGAGGGGGGAAAAATCACCAATGTCAAAAGACAAGGAAGAGTCTAATCCTTGAACAGTGAGAAAACTGTCTGAGGATGAAGATCCCAGGGTGAATGCAGATATCTGGATAATTTAAATATACTTGAGTGGAAGTTTAATTCATCTTTTTAAAACAGGATCTTACATTAAAAATATTTACTTAAAAATATCTTTCTGGAGCCAAAACAGCTACTGATGTTGGTTCATTAACAAGGTAGGTGTCCTTACAACTATCAAGGCAGTCCTGGTTGAATAGTTTTAGGGAGTTGCATGACTAACCTAATGATCGTACCTTGCTTGTAGTGCCAATCTACCAGCAGCTTCACTTGTGAACAATGGGGAATCATCTGGCATGCTAATAGCGTTGGAAACTCTCTGGATGGGCTGGTGTGGGTTGGTCTAACTCTACAACATTGACTTTGAAAAGCTTTGATTAATGTTCAAGACAATAAGGTTTCTGCAACTGAATGCCACTTTTCCCTCTTTCATACTGTGTGAGTAGGTGATTAAGTCAACACTACACTGGCATAATACTACCTGCAATTCTCTCTTCTTGACTTAACTTGTGGCCTTTACAAGGTTAAAAGTCATTCTGGAAAGTGTTTAAGGACTACTGAGTTCTTTGCTCTCCTTCCCTTGTCCTCTATTGCGTCTGTTTGCCCTTTCTTTCCGAGGGACATTGCTTTGAGTAATATTGAAGTATTTTCAAAATCCCATTGCCAGCTAATCTGTTCTGACTGATGACAACATTCCATTCTGTTTCAGAGGATATAAATCATAAAAGGAACACAGTGCCTTATCTTTCTCCTTCAAGGTTGCTAGTGGATTTTAATAAACTAAATTTCACTTATCAGGTTAATTAATTAGATAGTCTTTTTAAAGGAAGGAACACTCCAGTGTAAAATACCATATTGTCTTTCAGCTGGGGAAGATGAAAAGAGCATTTTTTTTTATTCACATGATTTTCCCTCAAATTGCTAATAAATATTCCCAATTTATCAAATATGCCCTGCAATTTCTCATTCTTGTACCAGCAACTAGACTTTTGCCTCCATTTAAATGGATTTCTATTCTTTGATTCCACTGAGATGCCTCACCCTTAAAATATTTTGCTCAGCTACGTTCAATGTGATCACAATATTAACCAGTCTTAAATCACATTAGAACTTCCTTATAGATGACCACATTTTTTGTTTAATTGCTTGTTTGTTTGGTTTTTTGTTTTCTTTTTGATCTATAATTTAAAAAATAAGATCATCCTAGATTCACCATCTTTATGTTTCAAGTGACTGCCACAAAACCTGATCCATACTTTCTGGATGAGTTCGATATTAAATGAAAATCAATGCAATTAAAAAATTGGTTGGAGGATAGTAGAAAGTCAGGTGCTTTGTTTTCCTGTATCATTTTTAGGGATAACATTTGTAAATGGCCTTGAGGAACCACAGCACCATCACTGAGTTCGTCCTCCTTGGACTATCTGCTGACCCCATGACCCAGGCTCTGCTCTTTGTGCTCTTCCTGGGGATTTACCTCCTGACTGTGATGGGAAACCTGATGATGATACTGGTGATCAGGATGGATTCTCACCTCCACACACCCATGTATTTCTTCTTAAGTCACCTCTCTTTTGTTGATCTCTGCTTCTCTTCAGTCACTGTACCAAAGATGTTAGAGAACCTGCAGTCTCAGAAGAAAACCATCTCAGTTAAAGGCTGTCTAACTCAGATATTTTTTGTGATTATTACCGGAGGTACTGAAGTCTGTCTGCTTTCAGTGATGGCCTATGATCGCTATGCTGCCATTTGTCACCCTCTGCTCTATGGACAGATGATGACTAAACATAGGTGTGTGCAGCTTCTGTGTGGCTCATGGATCATTGGATTTCTGGATGCACTCATCAATGTCCTTCTAGCAATGAAAATAGACTTCTGTCATGCCTACATCATCCCACACTATAGCTGTGAGTTGCCGTCTATCTTCCTTTTGTCTTGCTCTGATATCTCCAGTAACTTAATTGTTATGTTCTGCTTTTTCATCCTACATGGACTTGCAACGTCACTTTCTGTTCTTTTTTCCTATGTCTGTATCATCTTCACCATCCTTAACATCAGCTCCTCCTCTGGCAGGAGCAAGGCTTTCTCCACCTGTTCCTCCCATCTCACTGCAGTGGTCTTCTTCTATGGGTCAGCATTTCTCCGCTATTTCTTGCCAACCTCAGGTTCGCCTCTTGAGTTGATCTTCTCTGTGCAGTATGGTGTGATCACTCCCATGCTAAATCCCCTCATCTACAGCCTGAAGAACAAGGAGGTGAAGATGGCTGTAAGTAGGACACTAGAAAATTATTTATGTTTTCAATGTTAGGATAAAGTGAGAAAATAATGGAAAATTTAGATAGAAAACAATTGTAGCAAGATATTATGGAGAACAACCTGACTGCTTATCAAATAAAAATTAACAAAATTTATTAAGAATACTCATGAATGAAACATAGACCTTTGGTAAAGTGCATAATTTCAATTTAATTCTACTCAGTAGCAAAAGAATGGATTCTATATTCCTTCCAAACAATAATTTTTTATAAATATTTTCACCAACAACTGTTTAAAAGTATACATTGTGTGTTTGTGTTTATTTGTGAATTCTTTGTGTGTGTGTGTAATTGTGGATTTGTTGTAAACTATAATTGTTTGCAGCTAAGGAAAGGCACATAAATATAAAATTTTTCTAAATATAAAATTGTCTCAATCTTTTGAGAAAAAAGGACATGATGAGTTCACAGGGGCATAGGACAATGCATTTTTTAAATAGTTGCAGGAAGGGATGAGATTATGAATGTAGCCTTCTCATATTTTTGTTGTTATAAGATTGTGAACAATGAACTAAAATGTGCAGAAAATCCACTCAATACAATGCAAAGACATTTAACTCTCTGGTTAACATTGAAAAGAATGGGAATTTCTGAATACTTAATTATGCTCATGAAAAATATAGACAAAGAAGCAGTTATCTGAACAGAATAAGGTAACATTGCAAGGTTTAAAAGCAGAAAAGTAGGTATTAGCGTTGCATTGTTTATCGATACCTATTCAATCTGCATGCTGAGCAAGTAATTCAAGAAGCTGGATAAGAACGAGAATGTGGCATTGGGACTAGAAGAAGAATTGGATCATTTACTGGGAAATAAAAAAGACTATAATATAACATACTAAAAACATACTATATTGGTTGTTTTTAAGCCTCTTACTTAGAGTCAACAAGAACGTGGGGAGAGCCCTTGTTTCAAAGTAGGTTGTTTCTATATTTTGGAGGAACATTCTTCTCAGTGGTACAGCATTCTTCTGTCAATATGCTGCAGTGAGGTAACCTGGGGTTGCTGTAATGCTGAACCTTGTGCCATTGGTGTGTCAAATGCCATTAACTGACCTATGGTGGTCAGTGTTTGGTGAAGCTCCCAGTTTAAGATAGTTTTGGAAGCAGGAGTGGCATCCACTTCCTAAACAACATGACTCTGGAAACTCTGTGAACTTTGATAAATGATGATGGTTATAGAATGGCTTCAGGTCTTTTATTCATAGGGTAGCTGTAAGTCATGTTCGACTTGACAGCAATCAACAACAACAACATAGTCTACAATATTGATTACATCTCAACATCAAGAAAGCAAAAATCCCCACTACTGGACCAATAAGCAAAATCATGGTAACTGGAGAAAAGCCTGAAGTTGTCAATGAGTTCTACCAGTGGTACCAGTGGTCAAGAAACATGTTGCATTTGGAAAACCTGCTGTCAACATGCTAAAGAGCTAGGATATCAGTTTAAAGAGTAATGTACACTTGATTCAAATGACTTTTTTTATTTTATTTTCTTCCTATGCATCTGAAAATTGGACAGTGAGTAAGGAAGACTGAAGAATAGGACAAAGAACTGTGGTGTTGGTGAAGTTTATTGAATATACTGTGGACTGCCAAAATAAGTCTGTCTCAGAGGGTGTGCAGCAAGCATACTCTTTAGAGGTGGGGTGAAGAAATGTATTATATACAATGGGCATGTTGTAAAACTGGGGCTGTCCCTGTAAAAAGACATTATGTTGGGAAAGGTCAGCGCAAAAGGAGACCAAAACCAAGATGGAGTGACATAGTGACTGTAACAATGAACTTAAACGTGGCAGACACCTAGAGGATTGTGTAGAATTGGGCAAGGTTCTATCTATTGTTCACAGGGTCACTGTAGATGCCACTCATCCAACAACAGTATAATTGACATTAACTATACTAATTGATCAGTTTAATGTGGACCACAATAATAGAAAGAATGATACTCAGGAAAATAAGAGTGAAACAAACAGAAATATTAAGGCATTGTAGAACCTTAGTGAATCTGACCTGACCAGTGACTATCTGTATCTATAGTCAATAGACTAAAATTTTATTCAGATCTCTCTCTTAAGACTCAGAGGTAGAAGTTAGGATTAAAGGAATACGTGAGAATGTTTGCAAAATGAGCAGATACAAACTAAGTTCTGAGCTGAATTGTAAAATATTATGTTCTCCATGGTCTCTGCCATCCCTTTGTGAATCCTCCTCAATCTTTGAGGTCCATATTCCTTCCTAAGGGCCCAAAGATACACAGTTTCCTTGGAGAAGTCTTAATTTTTCCTTAGGTGACCAAAACAACAACAGCAAAACTAAAAACCATTGCCAAATATTTAATAGACTCATACCAATGATGAAGAATACAGTAGAACTACACTGTTGAGTTTCCAAGGATGTATGTAATATTTTTTAATGTAATGTACCATTGACTGCCAAGAAAACAAACAGATTCATCCTGGAGAGGATTAAACCAAGCAACTTCTTGGAGACAAGGATTCTGGGGCTTCGTCTGACATACTTTGGACATGTTGCAGGGAGGGACAGGTCCTTGGAGAGGGACATCATGCTTGGGAGGGTGGAGGGATGGCACAAGAGGGGAAGACCCTCTATGAGATGGATTGATTCAATGACTGGGGTAATTGGGATGGCTGTGTCAGAGGCAGTGCGATTGGCACAGGATAGAGCAGGGTTTAGGGCTGTTGTACATAGGGTCGCTATGAGTCGCAAACAACTTGACAGCACATAACAACAACAACAACAACAATCTTTAATTTAGCAGACTTTCATGTCTTTCTCCTGCAGAATGCTTTGTGAATTTACTATTGTCCTTTTAGCAGTAAAGCATTTAAACAGTGTTCCATTGGAGCTTCTTTCTTAGATTCTGAGATATCCAATTTCTAGACAGAGTTTTGCTAACGTCCTTTCCTTTAGTAATACCTTTATCACTGTCTTTAGTAATACTGTCATCTTGGTTCTATCATAAACAATATTTCTGAATTTCACAAAGAATAAGAAGATTGTGACCAGTCAATATTTTGGGATATTTTTCTCTTATCTTCTAAGGAATTAGTAAGTTTATTAGTAAATTGATCAAAAGATGTTTCAACTTAAAACCATCATTTTAAAATGCTTAAGTGCAGGTTCTATTTAAGTCTTCATGCACACATTTTTTAAAAACTGCTTCTTTTTTGTTATTTTATTAGTATTTTTGTGTATTTAAAACAAAATTGTGAATCATTTAACACTTACTCAATATAAATAATAAATTATTGCTCTACTTACAGAAATTGTGAAAGTATGGTATGAATGCTATGCTATGAAATATTTGTCATTTCTTTTCAATTAACTTTTCACTATACTCAGAACAAAAGGTTAATAATCTTATGTTGTTGATGTTAACATTAGTGAATGTTTTTCAATTTTAAGAAAATCTAATTTTAATTATCATAATTTTACTTGCAGAAAACCATATGTTAATTATTGCTCCTTTCCCAAATCCTTGTATTTATAGGTAATTTTCTTTGTTCTTCCTTTACTTGGAATAAGGGAGGGTAGTCATTAATATTTATCCCTTAAGGAGGGGAAGATATTATAAATTTACTTCAATTCTCTATGACCTTATAGGATAAACAGAACTGTTATATTGGGAACTAAGGCCTTGTAATATTTATACACACACACTGCCATATCTTTGCCACCAAGTATTGCTTGAGAGTGCCAAGCACCCATTTTTTAGTTAGCATTTGTGTGGATCCACATCTTACTCCATACACAAAAATCAACTCAAGGTGGATCAAAGAGCTGGGAGTAAAGTCTAAAACCATAAAGTTCATCAGAGACAAACTGGGATCAAGCTTAGAAGGCCTAGTCTATGGTATAAAGAGACTGCCAAATATATCCAGAAATGCACAATCTGGAGAGAATAAAATGGATGAATGAGACTTTCTAAAGATTAAATCCCTGTGTGCATTAAAAACATTTTGCAACAGAGTGAAAGGAAAACCTACTGACTAGGGAAAAAAACCATTTGGCAATACTATTTCAGACAAGGGTCTCATATCAAAAGTTTACAGAATTCTACAGGGCCGCCACCAGAAAAATACTAATAACACTATTACATAATGGGCAAAAGACATGGAAAAAAATTTCACAGAGGAAGATATTCAGATGGCCAATAGACATGTGAAGAAATGCTAAAAATCACTGGCAATAAGAGAGATGCAAATAAAAACCACAACGAGATACCATCTTACTCCAGTAGCAGTGAAAAAGTTTAACAGGACGGCAAGTAATAAATGTTGGAGAGAACGTGGAACAATAGGAAATCTTACCACTGTTGATGAATTGTAAAATGGTACAGTGACTCTGGAAGGCAGTTTGGCAGTTCCTCAGAAAGCTGAACATAGAAATTCCATATGACCCAGACATTCCATTGCTTGAAATATACCCAGAGAAAATGAGAACTGAGGCACAAATGGAGACTTGTACACCAATGTTCATAGCAGCACTATTCATCACTACAAGAACATGGAAACAGCTCCAATGTCTAACCATAGTTGAACAGATTGAGAAATTATGGTACATTCACATGATGGAATATTACACAGCATGCAGGAACAATGATTTTGTAAATCACTAACTTGGGAGAAACTGGAGAACATTATGCTAAGTGAACTAACTCAGTCCCATGAGGACAAATATTGTGTAAGACCATTATTTTATAAATAGATAACTAGTAAAATGTAAATGAGGATCCAGTGGGGAGAGGGGGGAAGTACAGGAGGGAAAATGGATTGAGAGCATAATCATAGGATCATACAATTTGATGGGTGGAAGAAGAAAAGACCAGATGAATGTCAGATGAGACTGAATATTGCATTAGCGTGCTGAGAAGCCAAAGCTAAAAGACCAAATCAAGAAATTAAGGAGCTGGACAGAAAATTTCAAAGGGCAGCTCAGGAAGACAAAGCAAGGTATTATAATGAAATG